ACATTCTTCTGCTATTAAGTACTTGTTGTTGCCCTGTCTGGCGCTCGGCATTTAGGGGCTAAAACAAGGACTGGTCGGCTCGGAGTCAGTATACTGTGTCTGAGTGGGGTATTCATGTTAAACTGCGGCATGGTATCTCAGTGGGCTAGCACTATAAATCGGCATCAGTCCGGACTAGTACAAGCAGCCACACAAACACACACACACACGTACATGCACGTCGCTATATAAGTGCAATAATCTTGGACGCGACGTTAAACCCAATTTCACCTCACCTCCTACTATTAAACCTGCTACGTATTCGTTACGCGTGAAAGTTGAATGCTGCTTCGTGTATACTATATGTCAACGAATATATTAACGAATAATCGTTACCTAGCAACGTGATCAACAATATATGAATCTATTAAGAAGTTCAAAGGGGTTTACAAATATCAATTTACTTATTATGCTGGGATAAGAGGCAAACAAATATATATACATCTATTTTCATTTTCTTTTAATCATTTTCAGACACTGAGTAATGTAATTAAACATTAATATTTTGAATTCCTCATCATAATAAAATAAATAGACAATTTATTTCAGTTAATTTTTAAAATACATGAAAAATAAAGGCGTTTTGTAAATTGCCTAAGTGAAAAGTTTACACACTTCTTGATTTACACACTGACTGTAACATATATACATACGTTGCCCACAGTCATCGCCCTGAAAGCGGGGTGTCCGGAGTATCGGGGTTATGAATAACGAGGATTCACTTATGTAACGCCGAATGCGCATGTGCTCTTAAATAAATCAAGTCAACCCATCATTCCTCGTATGACCATCACTGTTACATAAATCAACCCAAGTAAAATCAGCAGCAGCATTTAACACGGGCGAACCTAAACCAACGCACCTCCTTAAATGAGGATCTAATCATTCGTGTAACAGGACCAAATTTAAGCCACTCTGGGCAATGCTATTCCTGGGTTAAGAGGCAGGTTCCGCCGTTGTTAAAATAATGGTTTCAGATTAAGTGGTAAGCTAAATTTGAGGTTCTGTCTTATGTCTATGTTGAGTAGAAACATGATGCTGTTACCCTTGGCCATTCAGCTTAATTACTACGGAGATCCACGGAGATCCACGGAGATCCACGGAGCTCCTATTAAAGCAGAGTGACCTGGTGAGTGAAGAGTAATGGAATCTTTGGAGAGTTTATATAATGTGAAACAACGCTCCTACTCGTTTATAAACCATGATCTGCTGAAGACAATACCTACTGCATACGATAAGACGTCTATTTCAGGGTTGTTATCTTAGCGTACGGGTTTATAAGTAACCCGAAATGATAATACCTTTATATCTTGAGCAAGTTCGGTTTCCGTTTACTCTGAAATATACACAATGTGGTGTACCTTTCCATCAATAACGTATGTTCTTTGTCAGGCCAACTGGTTCTTTAAGCACACCAAGACATCGGAATGTTTACACATGCTGAGTTACGCGGCAACAGAAATACACGGCAGTTGATAAAATATCTCTGCGGTTTGTGCATATTTCGGGGCGCCGGGGTCACAGTACGTAGTTCCTTTAACAAATTTGAACTCCGGCAGGGGACTGGGAAGATCTGATTTTGAAAGCGAATGGATAAGTAGATCATTATTTAAGTACGGAATATAACTCAATTTCTTATTTGGCGTTTGTTTGTTTACTGCTTGTCGCACATACCCGCCGATCCTTACTGAAATAAAATTACAATTATGAGGACAATGGAATGAAATTACAATTATGAGGACAGTGGAATGAAATTACAATTATGAGGATAGTGGAATAAAATTATAATTATGAGGATAGTGGAATGAAATTACAAATATGAGGACAATGGAATGAAATTAAAATTATGAGGACAGTGGAATGAAATTACAATTATGAGGACAGTGGAATAAAATTACAAATATGAGGACAGTGGAATAAAATTATAATTATGAGGGCAGTGGATTAAAATTACAAATATGAGGACAGTGGAATAAAATTATAATTATGAGGATAGTGGAATGAAATTACAAATATGAGGACAATGGAATGAAATTAAAATTATGAGGACAGTGGAATGAAATTACAATTATGAGGACAATGGAATGAAATTACAATTATGAGGACAGTGGAATAAAATTACAAATATGAGGACAGTGGAATAAAATTATAATTATGAGGGCAGTGGAATGAAATTACAAATATGAGGACAATGGAATGAAATTAAAATTATGAGGACAGTGGAATGAAATTACAATTATGAGGACAGTGGAATAAAATTACAAATATGAGGACAGTGGAATAAAATTATAATTATGAGGGCAGTGGATTAAAATTACAAATATGAGGACAGTGGAATAAAATTATAATTATGAGGACAGTGGAATGAAATTACAAGCATGAGGACAGTGGAATAAAATTATAATTATGAGGGCAGTGGATTAAAATTACAATTTTGAGGACAGTGGAATGAAATGACAATCATGAGGACAGTGGAATAAACTTATAATTATGAGGGCAGTGGATTAAAATTACAATTATGAGGACAGTGGAATGAAATTACAATTACGAGGGAAACGGAATAATAATATTATTTTGTGGGCAGTCATTGTTTGTTCGCCCCGAGTATGTTTATATATTTCACTTAAACAATAACAAGACAGCATGTCCTGCTCTACCTGTCGCACCGACCAGACAGTCCAAGACTGTCCAAACATTTAAAAAGCATATTTGTCCACGGATTCTTTTAGTTCTATTCCACTTGAGTGAATGAGTGAGTTGGGTTTAACGCCGCTTTTAACAGTATTACAGTTTTATCACGGCGTGTCAGCTTAATGTGGGAGGAAAGCCAGAAGTGATGCAGGTCTCAGACGTTTACCACTTCGGTGAAACCCACGAGCACGGGTATGGCGCTGACAAACCTAGAATATAATCGGGGCGAACCACTTTCACTTGAAGTTTGGAAGATCGGCTTTATACATGTAGCCATACTATGTATTTGACCACAGACCTGCAAGTGTAACAAAGGTAAGGTTACTTGTCCATTTTAAAACTATGTATTTCATTGTTTTCCGTAACGTTAAAATTTGACATTTCAATTGACATTTCATATTTTCTTACACTATTACGCAACACAAGGCAACTCCAAGTCTTTGGGTAAGCTAAATATTGACTTTTGTCATCAGTAGATCCATGTCATTCTGTTACCACTGGGTTCATGTGTGACGTGTCTCAAATGTGCATGACATGATTCAACTGAGCCGTTTATCGTTCACACTGCGCTAAATGACATCAAAGATTAATGTGATAAAGAGAACTGAATACATCGAAATATTTGTTTTACCAAAATGCTTTTCTGACAAATCACCCCTTGTTCAAATAACTGTATTTCTGTTAACATTTATGCAAAATACTGAAATATTTATTACAATCTAAAGAAGTGAAATCTCGTTAACTCGGATTCTACTGGACCGTCGATAATATACTGTTTTAGGGATCATAAATATATTGAAGGATATTATTTTGTATTAAAGACTGAGCACGCAATTTCATATTTCACATGATCCCTAACTTATTTTGTTCATTATATGTCGATTTATCCGTACTTCGAGACCGGCGGCGTGTCAGTACACAATGGTGATACGGGTTCTGCAGGGACCGGTAAATTGCGGCCTTAAAAAAATATTATCGAGCTAAAGGAGTTCGAGATCACTAATCGTCATTGGATAGATGACTCGAGACAAGCAGAGTGTCAATATTAGACCACAGTGCCGATACCGATGCCAAAGATACGGCTTGAGCGATAAATCGAGATATAGGAGTTCGAGTTAACCTAATATTCATGTTTATTTACCTCGAAGCGGAGTGTCAACATTAGACCAAAGCGCAGATATCGGTACCATAACGTTACGGCTTGAGCGATTTATCGAGTTTAAGGAATTCGAGTTAACCTAAATGTCACTGAATAATTACCTCGAGAGAAGCGGAGTATCAATCAGTCATTAATAATGCAAATAAAATATATGTTTACATTTCCCGCTTTATATGAAGCGTACTCCGTTATCTACAAAATTACATGCTTAAAACTGATAATGTATTGATAATACAAATCAGTGTGACCCAGTTGTGTTTCTTGGTATTCGTGGTGGGAAAACAAAAAACTGTATTTTCCCTTCTGCACTTTGTGCCGGGGAATGTTTTATGCAGACTGAAGGGGACATTTGGAACGAACAACGTACTCAAGGTCACTGCATAAACATTTCAACAACTGTCAATTTCTTGACATCCTACCTTTTCACACATCATGTGTTACCGGTGCCTAAGACACATGTACCAGCTAAGCTTGGAGAATACCACAAATTCACCACGTGTGCATTCGATACACTTCCGTGCAATTCATGTCCACAGAGCGCGAACTTTATCGACCTAAATATCTCCCCGACTGTGATGAGGAAATATGCAGGACTCGTTTTTGTAAGGAAAAGGACAGGTAACCGACATGTCATTTTCGGAATACACATGTCAATCAGTGTTGTTTGATTGACGTAAAAGCCAGGTACATACGCATATTAATGAATGCAGTGCAATAAAATTATAACGCTGTGAATGGATGTGTGTGTTTGAGAAAGTGAATATATGTCACATGCATGTTTGTCGAGCTGTATTAAACAAATCCGGCTATATAAAAATGACAGACAAAGAAGTACTGAGAATAATCTTGTTTGATGCACAAAATGACATTGTTTTAACACCAAATAATGAATAAATCAAAACTGTCGGCCACAAAAGGATTATTTACATAAACAGTATCTGGCTTTAAATCTAAAGTAATATTTCCTGAAATAACGGTATCCATTGTTTCTTCATTTGCAGACACTCATTTAATCGGAACATGTAATCAGAGTTTCAAGTCAATATTAAATTTCATGATTTTTTTTTCTCCAAATTATATGAATACAAAACAGATAACGTAATAAACCTACCTTGGAACCTATCCGATTGCCGCACTGGCCAACCTGTATGTGGACAATCTCTCTCATGGTAAACCCTGGAACCTGCTTCAAGCACAGCCGCACTTCTATGTCTCGGAGGGTGCTGTCATTCAGGGACCGTTTACTGGATCTCCGGCACTGAGTCTGGTGGTATCACTACGCTTGGCAGGGTTCTTATGAAGGCGTGTTCCTGGCGAATGGCTCAATAAAAGCCCTGCCTAGTGCCAATGGTATATGTAACCTGCACACATTTGCGAATGTTTATTACATTAGGGATTCCATTATTACTTGTAACATGAGTATATTACCTTGGTGACTAGTTCTGCAGCTCACCTTCCATGTTACACACACTGTTACCGGGTGGTATACCATTGGATGCCAGGGTACATTGACGCTTCTTTTGATATGAGATAACAGTTGATGATATATACGTTTACTGCTTGATGCATTTGACAATATTCTTTGCAGTTATGAAGCAACGATTCTCTCATCCACTGTAGTGATAGGTATGTCGAATGGATAAAGGCATTAATGCACTGCCACATGTAGCACTAACTAGTACCACGAGCAGTTTCTACAGAGCATTATTACTTCTGGAAATAAAGCCTCGTTTAATACGGCTAGAACCAATGGCATTACTATCTCTAGCGATGCAACCAACATTATACCAGTAGTATTATTGGTGCAAGCAATGTCACCATTGTTAATATATCCTTATTCATACAGCCAACGTCATACTAGTATTACTAATGTCACCATTATCGCTATACATGCAACTAATGTCACCTTTATCACTATACATGCAATTAATGTCACCATTATCACTGTACATGCAACTAATGTCACCATTATCGCTATACATGCAACTAATGTCACCTTTATCACTGTACATGCAATTAATGTCACCTTTATCACTGTACATGCAATTAATGTCACCATTATCACTGTACATGCAATTAATGTCACCATTATCACTGTACATGCAATTAATGTCACCATTATCACTGTACATGCAACTAATGTCACCATTATCACTGTACATGCAACTAATGTCACCATTATCACTGTACATGCAACTAATGTCACCATTATCACTGTACATGCAACTAATGTCACCATTATCACTGTACATGCAACTAATGTCACCATTATCACTGTACATGCAACTAATGTCACCATTATCGCTATACATGCAACTAATGTCACCTTTATCACTGTACATGCAATTAATGTCACCATTATCACTATACATGCAACTAATGTCACCATTATCGCTATACATGCAACTAATGTCACCTTTATCACTATACATGCAACTAATGTCACCATTATCGCTATACATGCAACTAATGTCACCATTATCGCTATACATGCAACAAATGTCACCATTATCGCTATACATGCAACAAATGTCACCATTTTCACTGTACATGCAACTAATGTCACCATTATTGCTTTTTGTAATGTATATAACTAGAACCAATGTTTTACTACAGATTATATGATATCGTTACTACTGTAATAAAAAAGTATTTTTTGTTGTTTAACGTCAACAATATTCTACTTATATGACGGTGGCATGTAGATAATCGAGTCTGGATCATACAATCCAGTGACTGATATTATGAGCAATAATACGATGACACACATTCATCGGTCTTGACCACCCGATCCACGTAGTCGCCTAGTACGATCAGCACAGGTGTTTGGGCCCAATTTTAACCCCTTGTGGGTAACTCATGTTACCTTTACTTCAGGCCGTGTCACCGCTACTACCAAACTCCGTGTAAACAAGCAACAGAAATTATTATGTATGTAACTAATTTACAAACAATTGTGCAACTTGGCAATAATGCAACAACAAACTGAAAAGGAGCGGGACATATCCACGAAAGGTGAGGTGGAATTGACTTTTATAGCGACGTGCATGAACGTGTGTGTGTGTGTGTGTGTGTCTGCTTGTACTAGTCCGGACTCATGCCGATTTATAGTGCTAGCTCACTGAGACATCATGCCGCAGTTAAACATGAATACCCCACTCTGACACAGTATACTGACTCAGAGCCGATCAGTCCTCGTTTTAGACACTTAATGCCGAGCGCCACACAGGGTAACAACAAGTACCATCTTTTAACGTCTTTTGGTATGACGCGGCCGGGAATCGAACCCCGGACCTTCCGCTCTCCGGGCGGACGCTCTGCCACAAGACCACGGAGGAGGTCTCGGAGAAAGGATAAGGGGCGCCCAAACACAGCTCATCTTGTAAACACCATTTTAAATAAAGGCGGAACTACCCTGTCTAAAATCATAAGAAATTAAGTGTAGGATTCCGACTATATCATAAGCATGTGTTCATGAATCACTATCAAACGGTAATGATATCAGATGTTCGCGTAAAAGGTGAACATATCCTGCTCCACCGTAGCTACCTGCCCCAAACACGTGCAAAGGCAGGTAAACTGTAAACACTTTTAATTCACGAAATGAACCCTACCGGGTTACTGTGTTATAGCAAAGGTGACTGTGTGTCGTGGACTCATTGATTTGAAAGACATATGTGCATTTGATTATCCTAACATTGGGCAAGGACATTATTACTTCTGCCAATTAACAGGATCAAATCGTCATGAATATTCTCACATCAGGCTTAAACATTGTTTAATTATGAAACATGAAATCCGTCTACAAGATTGATATCAGCGTGGAACTTCATTTGAAGGAACTGTCGCTGGTTTTGGTTACATGCATGGCAATGAAACGTTGAAACAAATCTATGCATGTTGCAATTCATTTACATGTTGCGGGAGATAAGTGAAGAGTTACTGTCAAAGCGTTTATCTGCTACGAATCGAGTCTGCTTTGAAATTTGAAAAGTATATCGTTTTCAGATAGCGAATAGGACCGGTGCTACGAAACAAAACACTGGTTTCACAGAAAATATGCTAGACTCGGATTCCACACCATTAAACAACAAATGTTCCATTCCGCTTCCGTCTTACGGGTGTTACGGGTATACAAAGTGGAGATTGACATTTCATATTCTGCTGCGAGCCAGACGGACTACAAAGATTGTGAAACTACTTATGCTGGTAAAGGTTTACTTGGTGGAAACTGGAGTTTTAAGGGGCGGTCGGGTAGCCTAGTGGTTAAAGCGTTAGCTCGTCACGCCGAAGACCTGGGTTCGATTCCCGACATGGGTACAATGTGTGAAGCCCATTTCTGGTGTCCCCCGCCGTGATATTGCTGGAATAATGCTAAAAGCGGCGTAAAACCATACTCACTCACTCACTCACTGGACTTTTAAAGATGTACTGCTATAAGGTTTTTATGTGTCCCATATCTTGAAATTTAAATACAGTATCGAGAATTTTCAAGATAGAAAACCACAAATGTTCGGCACAAATTGTATTCCTCAAACAGCATATTTAAGAAGATTAATTTGCAATCCTTACAAAAATACACGTTCTGTAGTTTATATGGGTATCATAGTCGCTATATGGCTGAAATAATGCCGATGCGACATTAAATCTTTACTCACTCGCAAAGAACTATGAAAAACGATCCGTGGTTTATTTCACGAAAAAGTATCATGACGTCATTTCTTGATTTTTCGAACATGCACTCGCAACAAGATGACATCGTAAATTGGACGACGTCGGAATGTATTCAGGGAGTCATCGTTATTTAAATACGTGTAAATATTTTTAAAGGTTGTACATTTTATAAGCATGCATAAGGAGGCTGTACATAAGGTTTAAATTTCATATAAGAAATACACAAATAAACCTGGTCGTTGTTTCTCGTACAATGCGCCCCTCATGATGTATTCTCCCTGCAGTGTTTACTGTTTACTGATGAACAACTCCCACTCGTCGTTGATTTCTCAAATAAGAGCTACAAAAACTACTCCCATTATCATAAGACATTTCTGTCAAAAGCAGAGTCCATTGTACGATTCCGACTATATCTTGAGCATGTGTTTATAATGCACTATCAAACAGTCATGATCTCACGTGAGTACAAAAGGTATATATATTCTACCCAAACGGAGGCACCCGTCCAAAACACATGCAAAGTCCGGCCACACCTCCCTCCCACAATCTCCCCATCATACCTCCCTCCCACCATGGGCCCACCATACCTCCCTCCCACCATAGGCCCACCATACCTCCCTCCCACCATAGGCCCACCATACCTCCCTCCCACCATGGGCCCACCATACCTCCCTCCCACCATAGGCCCACCATACCTCCCTCCCACCACGGGCCCACCATACCTCCCTCCCACCATACCTCCCTCCCACCATAGGCCCACCATACCTCCCTCCCACCATAGGCCCACCATACCTCCCTCCCACCATTGGCCCACCATACCTCCCTCCCACCATTGGCCCACCATACCTCCCTCCCACCATAGGCCCACCATACCTCCCTCCCACCATGGGCCCACCATACCTCCCCCCCACCATTGGCCCACCATACCTCCCTCCCACCATAGGCCCAGCATACCTCCCTCCCACCATTGGCCCACCATACCTCCCTCCCACCATAGGCCCACCATACCTCCCTCCCACCATAGGCCCACCATACCTCCCTCCCACCATGGGCCCACCATAGGCCCACCATAGGCCCACCATTGGCCCACCATACCTCCCTCCCACTATGGGCCCACCATACCTCCCTCCCACCATGGGCCCACCATAGGCCCACCATACCTCCCTCCCACCATAGGCCCACCATACCTCCCTCCCACCATGGGCCCACCATACCTCCCTCCCACCATAGGCCCACCATACCTCCCTCCCACCATGGGCCCACCATACCTCCCTCCCACCATAGGCCCACCATACCTCCCTCCCACCATGGGCCCACCATACCTCCCTCCCACCATAGGCCCACCATACCTCCCTCCCACCATGGGCCCACCATAGGCCCACCATACCTCCCTCCCACCATGGGCCCACCATACCTCCCTCCCACCGTAGGCCCACCATACCTCCCTCCCACCATGGGCCCACCATACCTCCCTCCCACCATGGGCCCACCATACCTCCCTCCCACCATTGGCCCACCATACCTCCCTCCCACCATGGGCCCACCATACCTCCCTCCCACCATTGGCCCACCATACCTCCCTCCCACCATAGGCCCACCATACCTCCCTCCCACCATGGGCCCACCATACCTCCCTCCCACCATAGGCCCACCATACCTCCCTCCCACCATAGGCCCACCATACCTCCCTCCCACCATGGGCCCAACATACCTCCCTCCCACCATAGGCCCACCATACCTCCCTCCCACCATGGGCCCACCATAGGCCCACCATAGGCCCACCATACCTCCCTCCCACCATAGGCCCACCATAGCTCCCTCCCACCATGGGCCCACCATACCTCCCTCCCACCATAGGCCCACCATACCTCCCTCCCACCATTGGCCCACCATACCTCCCTCCCACCATTGGCCCACCATACCTCCCTCCCACCATAGGCCCACCATACCTCCCTCCCACCATGGGC